TGCAGAATTAGATTACATGCTGGCCTATCACTCGGGCGAGAAAAGTTGTAAATTGCATTATAGCAGTAGACAGCGTGAAACGCCAAACTTATTATCATTTGAGATACAATAACACGCCGAACAAATATTAATTTAGAATTCAAACAACAAAAATTAGCATTATATTTTCAAATTTTCACAGGAGTAGTTTCGATGGTTTTACGGAACCATCATCCTCAGCTACAAAAGCCCCAATCAACGAGATAAGTTATAATGATTAGCAAAGATCAGATAAGAGAGCCTGGACAGGAAATAAGCTACTGGCGCCATCTGTTGATGAAACCAGAATTAAAACATAATTTCTTTAAAGGCTAAAGGGAAAGATGGATTGGAATTAGGGTCGTTAACTAGAACAGAAAGATTTTCTTTGAATGTGAAATGCCTCTAGAAAATCCAGTTCACCAATGGAAGATGTTTTTTTAATAATTTTGGCAGCATAAACATTGAAAGTGTGATTTTCGGACCAACAATGTTGGACAACAGAAGACTATGCCTCATGTTTCTTAACGCGAAATTTCAAGGCCCTCTTAGGTTGGCCAATGTAAATTAAACAACGCTGGCAAGGAATCCTGTAAATACCCCAGGAATTCATATCCCGATTGGGTCCTTGGGGATTGGAATTTGGAATTTTATTGATGGGAGAATAAACGACCCGAAAGTTAAATTTCTGCAAAATACGTGCAACTTTGTAGCTAATTGATGGAAAGAAGGGAATGACAACATAATTTTTATAATCTTCAAAAGGAAGAGTGTGCCTTTTGGTGTGGTGAGATGAGAATTTTGTAACTGCTTGATTAATAATGCTGGGAGAAAAGCCCCTGTCAACAGCTATTGCTTTTAAATAATTTAGTTCTTCATCAAGGTATAGTTTGGAGGAGCAAACTTGAAGAGCACGGAAAACAGAGGAATAAAATGAAGCTAACATTTTTTAGTCGGATGACATGATTTGAAGTGTGGTGGAAGGCAAACCGATGAAGGTTTACGGTAAACCATAGTGCTGAAGTTGGATGTGTTACGTGTGACCAGAATGTCGAGAAACGGAAGAGAATCGCAAGTCTCAAGTTCAAAAGTGAACTGAATAGCAGAATCAATAGAATTCATTGTTGAAAAAGCTTTATTTAAACCATCTTAATTACCTTCAAACAGGGTAAAAGTATCGTCTACGTATGAAATTCGCGAAATCTGGTTTCTAGGCATCTTAATGCACCCTCCACTGGAACATTGGTGAATAATGATTTTACATCAAAAGAAAACATGAGTAAATTTCTGGGAGTTCTAATTTCATTTCTCTTGCATTCAAATTGCTGAGCTAATTTCTCTCACTCAACTCTGTTTGAAACAAAACGCATTTTGTTTTCCAAAATAAATATTACAAGCAAACTGAGGGATTAGCCATGAGAAGCCCTCTCAGTCCCATTCTGCCTGATATTTACATGCATTATTATGAATCAAAATTGTTTGAAACTTTAAACTACCCGGTATGGTTCGGCTACGTAGACAATACTTTTACCCTGGTTGAAGGTAATAAAGATGATTTAAATAAAATTCTTTCAACAATGAATTCCATTGATTCTGCTATTCAGTTCACTTTTGAACTTGAGACTTGCAATTCTCTTCCTTTTCTCGACATTCTGGAGCTGAGGATGATGGTTCGGTAAAACCGTCGAAACTAGTCCTGTGAAAATTTGAAAATATAACGCTGATTTTTGTTGTTTGACTTCTAAATTAATATTTTATCATTTGTAATTGGACACTGTTCTACTATATTTTACATAATTTATGTTCATATAATTTTTCATAATTTCAATAATCATTTTCCGATTATAACTACTCTGTTTGCTCTTCTTTTATAAAATATTTTTAGTGTAGGTATTAAGAATGCAAAATACAAAAGCAAATATATTAATACTTACATTAAAATTTAAGTTAGAATGATGTAGTTACAGTATTTCTTTACACATCCCCCCTTTTTTTTAACTGCTTTATCGTCCGAAAATCGAGAAAAGAAAACTATGCTAGCAATTTATTTTCCGAAGAATGCGGGTGTATTGAGAACATAACAATCTGAAATTAGTCATGGATAAAATATTGGTAATTAAGACAGTAGAATATGTTTAAAAGAAACTTACATTCCAGTCAGAATACATATTATTATTATGATTACAATATATAACGGATATTGAGCCAATATCTGATGACAATTAAGCCGGCTGGGCGACGTGTTTGGCACAGTTACCTTGTAAAGCCTCAGTGGCACCTCACATAAATCAGTCATGAACACAGTTCTCAAGAGAGACATCAGAGGAACGAAGGAGAATGGGGCAAACAAAGGATTTGGATTTCGAAAGATCGAAAAAATTATCAATATTTAACGCTACGACGAGCTGAAACGTAAATAATAGAAATAAGGTGAAATCATATGTTTCGAAAACTTCTTAGTGTGGGAACACTCGCCAGATTCGGGTTACTTAACGACAAATCTGCAAAAAATTCATTTCATATAATGAATACAAAGAAAAATAAAATGGGTGAAATGCTAATAAATGTAAATACAAATTGATTACGCTGAACAAAAATAAAAATAATTAAGCGAACATAATTTCTCAATGCACTATAGAAGAAGCAGAAAATTATGCGAATATTTAAAACTTTTGAGAACTTAGCCCTAAAAAGCTACGGTGCAAAATATGCGAGGAAATACAGTATATGTATAATGTACTTAAAATTTTATAAACTCCCTCAATCCCTGTAGGTAAAGAATTCAAAATTTTAAGGAGTAGCTAAGCATGAAAAATATGCCTAAAAATTCCAGATCATTTACAGTTTGAAGATATGTCTAACTTTCTCTTTTAATCCCCTTGTATATAAAAAAAACTTCGCAGATTTTTGTTCTTAATGTACACATCTTTTGGTTACAAAACCCTACAATTTTCCGGTTTATGACGTAACACATACTGAGAATTTTATACTATCATCAATCAAGCAAAGTAATATTTATTCTGAGTACAAATAAGAGAAACTGCGCAATCAGAATCACAAAGATTAAATCAAAGAAACATACAATGGCTTACAAAAGTGTTCGTACACTTATGATTTTCATTGAAATAGGTTTCTATCCATTAATTAAAAGTAAACTTTCTGAATGAGATTTTAATAATAAGATATATAATTTATTCGTAACAAAATTACATATTTTTTAAATATAGCGAAACTTTATTTTTAAGAAATTCATAATCAAAAAATGACAAACATTTTAACTCACAAAAGTCTTCGTACACTGAAATATTTTTGAATAAAATCAAAATTAGAAGTATCGTTTGCCGCTTTTTTAATTTTTGCATTGTGGTGGCATTTAAAAAATCGTTTGCTTTAATTTTTTATTGTTTACTTCATAATATTCTATTTATTATTGAAAAATGGGTCGCAGTCGTAAAGAAATTACAAACAGCATTCAAAAATTTATATTTTTTCACCATAGTAGTGGTAAATGAATTCGAAATATCGCTAAATTAGTTAATTTATCCCATTCTACAGTGCAGTAAATGATAAAACACTTTAAAGAATAAAATCAGATTGAAAACAAGGTAAGAAAAGGTCGACCGAGAAAGTTAACTAAACGTGATCAGAGATTTATTATTAGAAAATTTGTGAAAAAACCCACGTTTGAGTGCTGCAAAAGTGTCTGCAGAATTTAATGCAAAATTTCTACTTCAATTTCACCTGAAACTGTTCGGCGAGTTCTCAGAGAAGCTGGATTACATGGGCGTTCTTGCTCGTAAAAAAATTTTTGTTAGTGAGAAAAACAGAAAGCTTTCATTCGCAAAATCAATGATAAATACACCCGAAACGTACTGGAATAATATCCTATTTGCTGACGAAAGCAAATTTAACATTTTGGGTTCCTATGGTCAAATAACTGAACGGAGAAGAAAAAATATAAGTAACTTCATTCCAAGAACTTAGTTGGAACAGTTAAGCATGGCGGTGGAGGTGTTCTCGTGTGGAGATGCATGGCAGCATCAGGACTAGGTAATTTGGTATTTATTGATGGCATAATGAATCATTTTCTTTATTTAAGTATTTTAAGAGCAATTTTAAATTATCAGCCCAAGATGTGTGTATTAGAAACAACTTTATTTATAATCATGATAACGATCCTAAGCATACGGCTCTCAACGATCCTAAGCATACGGCTTCTCAACGTAGGGTCTCTTTAATTGTCCACAGGTTTTGAAAACACCACCCTCAGTCGCCAGATTTAAAGCTCATAGAACACATCTGGAAAAAACTGGAGGTTAGAGTACGAAAACACGATAGCAAAACGAAAAGCGAACTCAAAACAATCATGATAGAAGAATAGATAAAGATTTGATACAGAAATTAAAAAAAAAAAAAAAAAAAAAAAAAAACTAGTAAAGTCTATTCCCAGACGTTTAAAATCTGCTTTGGATGCAAAAGGATATCCTACTAAATATTAATTTAACGAAAAATGAAAATATTTACTAATATGCCAAGATTCTTTTGAAGTGTACGAAGACTTTAGTGAGATAAAATGTTTATCATTTTTTGATTATTAATTTCTTAAAAATAAAGTTTCGCTATATTTTAAAAATATTTCATGTAATTTTGTTACGATTAGATTATAGATCTTATTATTAAAATCTCATTCAGAAATTTTACTTTTAATTAATGGATACAGCCGTATTTCAATGAAAATCATAAGTGTAGGAACACTTTTGGGAGCCAATGTATATGCAGATATTTTATCATAAAATAAACAATATTAGAGGGGGGAAAAGCCCTATTTTTTCCCTGAAATTCAGGAAACTATGATTTCATTTAAAATATAATCTAATAATATTAGTTTAAAATTTCACAAGCAAAAAACTACAGTTTTGATAAAGCAAAAATAAGAAACATTTACAAACTTATAACCTAAGGAACAGATCTAGGAGCCTTGCCTGAAGTTACGACAGATATGCGTCGAGAAGAGACAATAGATCATAGGATTGGCTGCACTGTTCAGTGGCGCCAAGCTCTGAATGAAGGTCGATACAGCTACGAACGTATGGTCGTCTGGGATCTGGCCATACACCTGAAGCAGGTCGTAGACGAAATACGGGCTCCAACACAGAATAAACACTGAAAGAGAAAGCATAATATATTAACTTTCGGAATGGGTGCCATGTTGAAGATCCCGAAGTTCACTATTAGTCACAGAATAATATGAACTCAGCAACAGTGCAAATTAATTAAACAAACAAACAACAAAACACATTCGCCTGTGTTCTAAATGTAAAAACTACAGCTCGTAAGATATATACTTTACGGCGTTAAGGTCTGTTTTATTACAATCAACTGTGTCTGCACTCCCACCTCATATGTGGTGATTATGATGTTTTATTTCCATATGCTTTAAATAAAATCTAGAGTATGTATATACTGACAGCATTTAAAATTTTACTTTCAGAAATCAAGAAATACGTTTCTATTTATGTACAAAAAGATACGCCAGTGACACAATATCTGTTTAAAAATTTCAATGAAAATGAAGATATTAACATTCTGCTATTATTGTTATTTTCTCATTATCATAATCATAATTCTACTTGAATGTTAATCTAAATTAAAATAATCTAGCCCACATGAAAAGAATATGAAGTCAGTTAAAGCTATATGTTGCAGAGAAGTATCTCAATCTCCAGTATGCACCCTTATGGGTGTATGGGTAAATGTTTAACACGCCCAGCTAGTAAGTGAAGATCTACGAGTCGAATCTTAGCGGGGTGCAGTTGATGTTTCACGTTTCTACTACAGAAAATATAATAACTTCTATACAGGCGAGTAATCTATAAGGAGGGATGGGAAAGAATTCTTCGATATTTAGATTTAGTCGAGTGGATTTTGCACCTCTCCATAAGTCGTCTGTTAAGTGGCGAGGAAATTATACGTATTTTTTACATGCGCACTCTTGCCAACCACCAAATAAGCAAGAATGCTCTAATAGTGCAAACAGGTGAAAATAAGGGAAGGGTGCTCTTCATAATTACAGTTAGAATATGGGCACTAATATTATGCATACATTATAAGTATTGTTTGACTATTCAAGCATTTGCACAAATTTACATTTTTTTGTCCATAGAAAATTCCATATGACTATGGAAAACAGTCTCGTTGTTTTTGAACTTCATCTAAACTGTATTGCGTCTTTGCAACGGACCATTAATTAATTAATTTACAGAGTCTTAATTTGGATTATGCTATTTTACTTACGTTTCGTATATGCCTTAATATTTCAACTATAAACTTCATTCTTTCCTTCTCTCTCTCTCTTTCTTGGTAACCTTCTTTTTTGTGAACTTTTTGAATTATTAATATAATTGAAATGTGCTAGAGTTCTGCGTTATTGTTTGTTGTGAAAAAAAGTGACGTGACAGGGACAAGTACGTAGACGAAAATATGGAGGTACCCACAAAAATATGGACGTGCTGCTGGTCTCACCATTTGCAAGTTGTAAGACTTCATTTTCATTGAAGAAACCGTGCAAAAACGTTCTGCTGAATTCTGAACTATAAGACCGCCTATTTTCTCATTTTTTTTCATTGACAGTTTCTTTTGAGGATTTCATCTGATAATTCATTACAATCATTGGTCTACGAGACACAATATCATCTAGCAAATAACGGCTCAGTTTGAATCATATATAGGCGTGAAAGCTGTACATTTCGGAGATCAATCAAAGTGACATTTTTTCAACGTTCATTTCATTTTATGACGATTTGTTCAATGTTAGTTTCGCTCAGGAATCTGATGTAGGCATTTCCTGTGCCAGATATTGGATTGGTCAAAGGCTAGGTTAGGTTATTTAATTACGGCAAAGCCTCGAGGGCTATCTGCCTAAGGGGAGGGATGCCTTCGTGGAGGACGTTCTAATTGTATTGGTCAAAGACCGCGGCTTCATATCGAACAAAAATAGTTCCTATAAAATGCCTATGTCTTGGCCTGGTTTCTTTGCAATCAAAATCTCTGTTTATCTTGATAGTCAATACTACAGAATAGTTTCCCAAATCTTTTTGGCCCTTTCGTTGTTTATTTTGCTTAGTAACTCCTTCGAATTTCTCCAGCACTCCCTACCCTTGCAGCAATGATATATTAAATGCCGTTTCATTGTAATCTATAGGCACGGAGTGAACATCCGAAATCATTTTTAGACATTTTGCGCATTTTTACGAAGCCACCAGCTTAATGAAAGCCCATCGGTTCATCATCAAAGAATTCTAAGCACCAATTTTTTAAGATTGAAACTTGTAAGACATGTACAGATTTTTGCCACCAGAGCAAGAGCAGTAGTTATTTATTGAATGAATGTGCGAGGTGATCATAATGGTGCGAGGTGATCATAAATTCTCCAGATTAATTACAAGCCCAAATGTGGGTTATGCTTTTTTAATATTGAATCTACAATTAGTTAGACTACATGCAACTTGGACCAACTTGTGCGAAGAGTAAGCTTACATAATTCGGCATGACACTTTGTAACAGAGCGAAACTGTAACATTTATAGATAAATGTGTATTTAAATCTTTATTTAAAACTCTTTAAGCAATCAAAAATTTTCTCCAAGCTGGTTCTTAACTGCCTATTTTTTTCTATAATTCTTTACATGCCTCGGACTATTAGCTGTCCCTTAGATATCTTCTGTGACCATTGATGGGCGATAACGTTCATGATGGGAAATTATGGCTTAAGTTTTATACATTTTGTTTTAAAAATTAAGCAAAGCAGTGTAATGTTCGAATAAGAGTATTGAATGATTAATTAAAACGAAACTACATAATATAATCATTAGATAAAGTTTGAAATTAATAGTTCGTGCGCGGAATATGCATATTCAATACAAATGCTCCAGATTAATTACACTTATACTGCTTTTATAAACTGAGGTAAATGCAAAGAGTTTACGTAGTATAAAATGCCGAAAAATCTGCTTAGTATAAAGGGATTCAAAAGCTAATACAAATGTCCTTGTTTTATTAAGAGAAAAGAAAAACGAAAATTTTCTCCATATTACGATTTTGATACCTGTAGAAAGCATTTTGTTTAACCAGCATTAATTATGTCATTGTGATTAATTAGCTGTTTTTCTACAATTATATATTAATGATTTTCAATCAAAAAAATATACGTTTTTAATTTCACGATAATATTCGAGCTTCTAAATATAATCCTATAATATCTAAACCCAACCTTTTTATACTCAAATAATGAATGAGACGTAATAATAGATATTCCGTAGATGGCGATGTTAAAAACGATATTTTAATAATCATTTATAAATTATCAAAATAAGAAATAAACAAAAAATCTGAAAGATTTCAGATTTTATATTACGCTCAAAGGGGCGTTTTTTTAGCGTTTTCTGTGTTACCTTTATTTATTAAATATCATGTTCTTCGAACAAAATTCAATTCAACAGTAATATGGAAAAATAATTTTGAGTGAGCATTAAAGTGAGCAAATCTTTAGACTTTCCGATACAAGAGATTAACGCGCTGGAGATAAAAATGTTTTTTTCCGTACAACGTTGCCATTGCTCGCTTTGAAATCCTTGAGTTTGTTAATCAAAAATTCGTTAAAGTTTTACAAATATGAAATCGATAATAAAACAAATTCCAAATTTCAAATTTGGTCTTCCACATGCCCATATTCGTAGGAGGATTACGTCATTCAAAATTTGATGGCTCTATGTACGCTGTTTTATCACAATGCGAGAAACATACATACATTTTATGCAGATTCTTCATTATTTAATTTGTTTAAATGTAACACAGGACGATAATATTTGGTGGCAACAATTTGGAAAGTGAAACTGATATTTAAATTTGTCAACACAAAAGGCCAAAACGAAATTAACAGCCTTTCGGGCTAACAAGACAAAAAACATTCAAAATTACTAAAACAAGAACCGCAAAAATAAAAGTAATATATGTTAAGAGTTGAGGAGAAATGGAAACACTTTCTCTCCACTATGTCAGTTTTAATTACACAATATGAAAAGTTATAAACGAGAGAACTGCATAATTATCCTAATATCCTTTTTAAGAAAATAGGTTATTTAAAGTAATTAAATTTATATTAAATCAAGCGTATTGCTGCACGAAAAATAAATGCGTCTGTATAACAAATTGCTTTCTTATGTTTACAGTGCAATTAATCAGCGTAAAGATCAAAGATCGCCCATTTGTTTAGCCTATACGCAATTCCTTTTGAAATTCTGGGATAATAAGTTCTTATTAATATATTAGAGATGCCGATACGTAAACTAAATTAAGAGTTAATTACGTACTCGAACGGTTAAGATTATCGACATCATATCAAAACGGTACCTTCACCAAAACAGGCTTAAATTCAATTTTCGCTTTCGCAGAACCATAGTTAAAGTTTCCCATCTACTGTGGAAATGGATGGGGAAAGCTATTTACGCTAATACGCAGTAATTATCTAGCTTATTGCTTATTTCTATTTAAACGTATGTTAAGTCACTTATCTTTAATGGGTGTCAAATTAAAGATATAATAGTAACTAATAAATAAAGCTAATTGATAATTATAACAGCGCTAAGACCAATACTTTTAGATTAAGTTACAATCATTTATTACTAAAAAATAAAGTTTTAACGTTCTTATATTTAAATTGCTATAAAACGGGCTTATTAGACGATATACCATCCAAGATGGATTTAAAGAGAAGATTTAGTTTGGTGCTTGATATCTTTCCAATAAACTAAAACTTAATGGATAAAAAATGCATATATTGATTAATCGATAGAAAAAAATTTGCATATCGACAGTAGAAACGTTTATAACTTAATATTTTCAGGCTTTTCGACCATTATGTTACTTTAATACAGAGGACTTTCGCACATTTTTTAGACGAATTTGCTTTGATATTAAAAAACAGTCGCCTGCTTGGAAAATTTTTTTTTAATTGCCTATATTTTTGAAAATGTAAATTATCGTCTGCTATTTGACAATTTTGTTTTAACTCAAAATGGCGCGTTCATAGAAGCAATGGATATCAAAGTTTGGTTTTAAGAACGAAAATTGTTCAAAATACATATCTAAGGAAAAAACGGAATGTTT